CTAACAAGTTTATCTTTTGCCTGTGTCATTATCTTGCTATGGTTACTAAAGGCCAACGTCTCCGATAGCTGATCTGTGATTCCACCCACATGTCAGCAATCAAGCACCACATACAGTATTTGGCATGTCTGAAAAGAGACCAGATAATTTACATAAGTGGAACCTTCTAGTCCATACACGGCAAACAGTATCTGACACGCTAGCTGTCCTCAGCTGATGACAAATGGAGGCTTAATTCCCATCTCACTCATTAGGGTGCATTGGTTTCCCATTCGAAATGACTTAACAGATGGAAAGGCTGTTTGAGGACGGAGAGTGGTAGATAAGATTTAGCACAAAGGATGGTGAGGAGGTTGTGTAAATTCATAAAATGGCATAAAAAAATACTTTACGGGAATAAAATGTATGACCTAGACCAGTGTGTAAGAGTGAATCTGTGTATGTTTAAAAAAAGAGCAAAAAAGCATTACAGATTTGCTCCAGGGATTGGGAAATCAACAGGCAGTGAATGCTGTAATCACTGAGCAAGCTGATACAGTATCAAATAGGATATGACACTGAGTCACTGTTTCCCAAAAATGGATTCAACATTTCAAACCTGAAACCTATTGCTATGCAGTGATCTGACCTAAGATCTGACCTAAGCTATCTGACCTAAGATAGCTGCCTATCTCTGGGGGTAAAAAGCAAAGCAACAATCACAGTCCACATGTCCACACTTAGGCATCATTCTGCCTGCACTGGTGCTAGACAGCTTCTTGACATGTCAAGCTATTCGCAAACCCTGAGATCATTGTCAGACAATGAGCATGCAGAAAATCCACATTATTGTCCCAGTCTGGCATAAAGCTGGTTATTTTTCGGTGGAGGAAAAGTGTTGTAGTAGGTAACAATGATATTAAAATACAAAATCATGCATTGTTACATACAACAGTAGTTATGCGTCTTTTTGTTTAATGTATTCATCAGATACGCTGATAGGGATCTGGGTTCATTATCAACGTCTCTCATATAATGGAATTCGAAACTTTATCTTTTAGCTTCTCTCATGTACAGAACAATTTAAATAATAAAAAGCAGAAGATGTGACACATTAATAATTACTAGTAGCCTCTTCTATCTCAGTGTTTCCCATTTTGTGTTTGGTGGGTTTATTTTTGTCTTACCTGCATGTAATACTCTATACTTGTCTATTTTAAAGGTTTTTTATCCATTAACCAATTCGGCATCCAAACACACTTCACTGAGTGCATAGCTTCTGTTGTCTGACAATTAATGTTTTATGAGAAACTTTATCAGACTCCTTTTGAAAATGTAAATTCAGCAGATGATATACTCTGTATATTTGCTGATACAACATACTCATGTCCTCTTTCTTTGTCTAGAATTTTCTCGTTATTCTCCCAGATATACATGTATTTTTTATATTTTTATTGTTTTAGTACTGAGAGATATTTTAAGTTTTTATTATAGCTTCCGTTGCTATGTTCCCTTGCATCTCTCTCTTTACCTTTCTAATTTCCTTTTTTAACCTCTGCTTACAATTCACTGTCCTCCTTTTCTTTAGCTGGATACTGCTGGTTTTTAAATCTTTTTCATGAAGTGCTTCCTTTGCCTTTCTGTTTCCCGAATGTGTTTGTTCCGCCCTTTTGAGATCCTGTTTGATAGCTTTTGCTTGGGATCTCACTCTTGGGATAAATGTGTTCTGTCCTTCATGCAGTATCTGTTAAAACTGTTGCCATCCTGTATCTACTGACTCCACATCCATCCTGTCCCACTGTACTTCTCTTCTGCTGTTTTGTTCATACTGTAGGCTGCTTTCCTGAAACTGTAAGCTTCTGATTTGGAGTGTATCTGGACCCTTTCAAAGTGTACATCTGGGGATGATTCTGTCACTTCTGTTTGGCAGTCTGTATCTTGATTGTTTCAAATGCATTTTGCTTAGGTTCTGTGTCACAGAAGAAGGTCTACATTCAACACATTACATTTTTCATTAGTAAAATATTCACTACTTGGCCTTTGTGCAGACATATTCATGAACACAGAAACTAAAATAGAATTAATCATAAACTGCACAGCAGTTTAGGAATAAAGACTAATTTTAGCTGAATTTGTAGCAGGCATAAAACCGAACTCCGTCTTTTTGCAAATCTCAATTACCTCTGGCTCCACATCGGAGTTTCAACTCAGCTCCTCTATCTTGGTAGGTACTGTTCATTGATAATACTTATAAAATGACTTCAGGTTTTTTCTTGAAATGCACATGCTGAATTATTTCCCAGTATAAAAGATTTTTGTATCTCCCAAATTTCAAAGCAAACGTGTGAATAAAATACTATATGTGTGTGTGTGTGTGTAGTAACACTGCCACCTGCTGGTCAATCGCCCCTTTTATGGAAATTCAATAAAGGGATAGAGTATTTTAACCATTATACTATTACTTACCTGGATGTTAAGCATGTTGGCTTATTACTGGGTGTAAAACAAACAAATCCTACACCTGGCTGTATGGAATTCAAAGCTCACACAAAGTGAAAATTACCTACATTTGTTATTTTATTGGATTATAGCTTTATAAATATGTTTAGCTTTTTAAAATCAACAACAGTCAAGAGCTGGTACAAATGTTTCTGATGGATAATTCTGTCCTTCATGACTATTTCTTTGTGCCTTTAAAATCCAAATGACAGATTTTTACACTGAGGTTTGTGTTGTAGCTTCTGCTGTAGCTTGCTTACAGTAAGTTTTCTTTGTTAGGACTCTCAACTAAAAAATGGGGGCGCAGATGCAGGTGTTGTTGTTGTTGTTGAAAATGGACCTTACCCAGCAGTAAGTACAATATACAGTATATTAAGCTACATGATGTATGCTAGAGTCTCTCATAGCTTTGAGACTGGGAGAGTGTGGCAAGCTGCCAGTTCTGGCAGACTTTTGGCCACACCTGGTTTTATCAAAGGATATGTCTTTTGTGGTTTTCTTTTCTTCCAGGCAAAGAAAGTAGATCTCACTAGTGTTCACTGGAACAGTACTTTCCTTTTGCTTCATGTCTCTGGAACATCAAAGATCCTTTCATTGTTAAACACCTCCCGTGCTTTGCTTTTTAAAATGTAACCCGGCATTTTAAACAATGCCTTGATTTCTTCTATGCATTAATCTTTCATACGAATAAAGATGAATAGTAATTGAGGAGTGTTTTTTTTTCTTGGGAGTTAATCTCCATGATAAATGATTCAATTCAATTCAAGCTTTATTGTCCCACAGGGAAATTTTTTTATTTACAGCACACTCTCAACATAGCAACACAATGACAGACACACCTTTACCAACCTAGAAGTCAGCGCAGTGTTACAGTAAGATTAGGGCGAAGATAGTTACAATACTTTTATACAATTTTATACTAATAAAATTAATTTGCTATTTATTTTGACTCGTCTTTCCAGCCTATCCCAATCAGTGGTACTGATTTTATGGTTCTATTTACCTTGAAATAGCTTAGTTTCCTTTGAAAGTAGAGTCTCTGTTGTCCTTTTCTATAAATGGTGTTGCAGAATTTTTCCCAGCTTAGGTTTTGTCTATGACCAGTCCCAAGTAGTCATTGACAATTTCTACAGTCTGACCATTAGTTACAGTAGGTTGGAGGAGTGTTGCATTTTTCCTAAAATCGATGACCAGATCTTTTTTTTTTAAAACACTTAACTGCAAAGAGAACTTGTTACACCATTTAGTAAAATCATTTAGAATGGGACCAGGATGGGTTTCTGGGTGCCTTAATCAGCTGTCCAGGGCTGTGCCATCAGCACACTTCCTGAGATGTGTCTTTGTGAATTTACTATTAGAATCGTTATCTCAGTGATGTCTCTCGCTTTGTGCCCATTGCTTGCTGGGATAGGTTCCGTCTAACCCAGGGTTATTTGACCCTGAACTGGAAGAAGGGATTAGAAAAGGGATGGATGGATCCAGACAACCTTACAAAAACCACACCACTCTTTCCTTTTGGGATTGACTCAATCCTGGGAACAATACTGTTCTCATCTCTCAAGAAGGAACAGTGAATGTGCTTATTGTTGAGCTATTTGATCCTAAAACCACAGTACCTACACTGTCTGCTTATAAAACCATATGTTTCTTTTGGAGTAGTTGTCTGCTCATGAAGGATTATCAAGGCACCTTTTACTGTATTGTACAGTAAATATATATAAAAGTTGTAGTAGACAACAAAAATCTATTATCTAGTTAATGTAAAACTTAATGGTGTTAATGTAAAAACAACAAAAAAACTGTAAATGTAAAGTATTGCACTTTCAGTCATTCTGCACATCATTAAAAATAGTATTTTTATAGTTTTATTTCCATGTAATATTGAAATATATGTTAAACATTTTTAAATAAATATACTGTATTTTTGTGGAGCAACACTACAGCTTTATGTGCACTGTTCTTCAAAACGCTAAATAAAATACCCAATGAAACTGGACAGTGTAAAGTGAGTAAAAGCCAAAAATATAAATCCATAGTTCTAAAGTCTGAATACCTCCCATATCTCCTCTCCTGCCTGAACAATGTCCTTAGGAATTTTCCTGGAATTTATCTTCTTCTGCTTTTACGAATATACTGTAGTATTTTTTTATTACATATACAAATATTGATGTTAACTATATTACAGAAACAGAAAATAACACCAAAACTTTTCGCTCACCAGTGTTTCTTACTAGTGGAAATGTCACTCTTTTGGAGGTCAGTACCGAGTTTTACATGTAATTGATGCTCTTAGATACTACACTGCCAATCCTCTGAGTTTTTTTTTTTAATGAAAGCTTGATGAAGCGTTTTCCTGCACACCAGCCTGACTGAGACTGCAAACCTAGACTCAGGAAAACGTCCCCCCTCCCACACCCCGATTGGTGCTGACGACCGCTAGCGGTCGTGGCGGAAACAGCATGTCGCGCCGCACTGGCGAGTGGGAGCGGCGCGGTGACGACATGGCGCCTGTTCTCCAATAGGAAGTTGCTGGAGGAGGGAGCCGCGGTGCGCTGAGCTCAGGCCCTCCGGTGCGGTGAGACAGCAAGTGCAACGTCAGCCCAGCTCGGGTAAACTGACAGCTGCCCCCCCAGCCTAGACAACGCTGAAGAACATGGACGAGGACGTGCTGACAACTCTCAAGATACTAATAATCGGGGAGAGTGGGGTAGGAAAGTCCAGGTGAGACACTCTCACCCCCTGTCTGCGCTGTGAAACACACTGTGCTCGGCCTTGTGTCGCTGGCTGGGACTCGGAGTAGCAGCCGAGGCCTGCGCCTGACCTGCTTTGTTTACTGTATTGTTAGTCTCGTATTTCTCACAACAGCTCATCTGGTTTTTTTTTTGTTGCGGAAAGAGAGCCGTGTAGGGTTTTCGGGCGCTCTCTGGACACGTCGCGCCGCCAGATCAGTATGTTTTATGAAACGCGTACAGGAGAAATGGTGTAAAACTGGCGTTTCAAAAGCAGTCGTGTTGTTACAGTAACTTCTTTTTCGCACGATGCAGTTGTGCGGATGATGTTTTCTGCCGTGTCTGGAGACCTTTTTATCCTGCCTGTGGGGTTGACAGCAGGCAGCTGCGGTAGTTAACCCATCGTTTGGCTTCGGGGTCTCGTTGTGTTGACGGGGGATTGGCGTCGTCAGATGTAGACAAAGCCGTTGCTTGTGGTCATTTAGATGGCGATGGACTTACTGCCTGTGCTACCAAGTAGAAAACGACGGTTAAAAAGATCTTTCGCCACCTCTCATGGCAGCCTGCTGCGAGCTTGGCCGGTTTGGGATATTGGACATTTCACGATTTCCCTTGTACTTCATCGTGAAGTGTCGGTGTCCCAACAGTGCTCTGCGGTTTTGTTTTTTGTACTTATCGCTGTGCCTTACTGATCTTTTCAATAACTAAAAAAAAAAAGTCCAGTGTGGAAAAACGCACATCTCAGATGAACCCGATAAGCTAGAAATGGCGAAATTGTACTCCTCTCTGCGCTGGGGCCTGTGAAATGCTTGGGGCATGTAACAGGAGAGACCGGTCATGAGAAAACTGTTGCAATGCTGAAGTCATCACCCTTGGCCGGTCTGAGCTCCTGAGCAGATTACTAATGGGGGCTTTTTCCTCAAGTGTGCCAAGTAAAATATTGCCACCCTTCAACAACAAGAAAACATGATCCAGAAATGGAGACATGTCCGTCTAATATGACGTCTAATGTTCTGGGAAAAGAAAATTGACGTCACTGGACGGGTTTTAAAACGTTTTGGACGTGCTTCTTTTCAGAATAGCTAGGGAAAGGCTAAACTTTTTTTTTTAATAAGGGCGATTTTTATATACGGTGGGAGCCCTAGTTTATCATAGGGGTGAGAAGAGCCATTGTTTTGCAGGTGTGTGTGTGTGCACGTCTCTGTTAAATAGTTAAAAGGATGTTTGGCATAGTTGTGTTTGCATAACAAATCACCTGGTGCCTAAGGCAAGCCAACTCCAGCATGTGTGACAGTTCTGCACGTTATGTGCAATAACAGGTCACATACTAGTATCAGTAGCATAATGGCCATACACAATGTTCATATTTATTCATATCGTGTACCTGTGTTAATGCTGTAAATGTGCTCTAGCCATGTTTGTCATCTGGTTGTTTCACAAAACCTCACAAAGATTATAGAAGCCTGGTGTTGAAGGAGGCTGAATTCTGAGGGAGAGCAGTGAGTATTACTTCATTCTGGGGGCAAGTCAGAGAATTGTTCAACTCCAGTGGCAGCACAAAAAAAAATCAGTAAGCGATCCCAGTTTTGACTGTGACACCCATCATCAAGAAAATCAAGGCTGAAGGGGTAGCTGCTGCCATATTTTGAAAAGGGTGTGCGAATGTTTTTCCCAAATTCAGGATCCGGTTTTGGGAGACAAACTTGTAATTAAAGGCAACAGCTGGAAATCTTCACAAAGCTGTGATATTCATCGGGATACAGTGTCTGACAGGATTACTTTTCAGGGTGAGGTCATGACTCTGGTGTCTGGGGAGGAGTTTCATGGGCATATCAAAGAAATGACATATCTGCCACCTGGCATCCAGTTATGAATGAAGCACGCCTTGTTTTCTCACCAGTACAATGACTGGCAGAGAAAGATGAATGTCATCTCTGAACAGTCTTTCTGGGAATGGATGTGGATATTTTCTGCTTTAGGATGGATTTGCTTTGGTTCTGGTATCCTAATTGAAACTGAGGTGCAGACAGTTTTCAATGTTTACTGGGATTTTTGGGATGTAAAATAGACCACAAGTTAAACACACAGAACAAATGTTAGCACCCTGGAGCCTCATGTTACCCATGTGCTGACCTGCTGGCATTGACTTGTCTCAGACTCCCTGAACGAGATACTCTCTCTCATTGCGTTCAGCTGAGTTCATTCATTTCTGCTGAAAATAAGTTAAATTTGTAGAAGTAAAAAGGCTTAAAAGCTTATGCTAGATGTTGAATAAATAGGCCATTAACAAAGGGCAAATTGTTCTCCTTCTGTGATTTGAAGCATTTTCAATAGTTAATATCATTCCTTTGTAGTGTTTGGCAGGATTTAAGAAATGTTTAGAAAGATCAACTGTGGGATATTTGGAAGAATTTATGACTGGTGTATTTATAGAATTTGAATTACTTGCCATGTGATGGTAGCCATCCGGGTTTTCTGGGTGTAACGTACCTGTAATACATTTTGTGTCATGATAGGCCTACTTCTTATTAAACAGGAAGCCTTTAAATAAAAGATAAGGATGTTTAACTACTAAACTAGTATTTTGTATATTGGTTCACTGAGTGTTTTATTTGGACTTAAAAACACGATAGCATTAGTCATCCAGTTGTTAATTTTTTTATATTTATTGATTTTTTTCTTGCTTACTGAGCTGTTACTTGAAAGGTTTGCAGTTCAGCTCTAGATAAATGTTGTATATTGTTTTCCCACTAGGGATATATCATATGAGATGGCAAGAAGTCTATTATAATTGGGTGGTGAGATGATACTTAACGTCCTTATTTTAATTATGAGGTGACATAATTGTGAAATGCGGTGATGGATGTTCTCTCAAATACCTGATAGTGTCTGCATTTCCAAAATTGCACTTGAACTTGAGAAGTATGAGGTAATTCTGATCCTGATAACGTTACTCAACAAGCTGTAACAGTGGTCATTGAAATAAAAATATATTTTGCGTGAACTCAGTGAGAGAAGCAATTTGCATACACTGACTAGCATGTCTGGTGTTGGGGAATATGGGTGAACTCTGACCTGATAAGATGAGCCACGATGAAGTCATCTGGCCTGCCTGCACTTTTCTGAATACGTCTGAGCTGACATTAGTGCATGCAAAGAGGTCGAGATGACGTTTTTCCATTGGGACAGGGCCAGAGCAGTAAACCCCTTTTAGAAGAAAGGTTTTTCAGAAGTTTTTGGCGTATATCCTGGGTTACAAAGTGGTTTAAAACTTTTAGATCATTTGATATTAAAATGTCAAAATGTTAAAAAAAGATGTAAAGCAAGTTAGAAAAATTTAGTGAAGCTTTTAGATTTAAGCTGATGCAGAATGTAACTTGAGGTTTGGGTGTTTAAAAAGTGTTCTACTGTCTGTAATTCAAGGTATATTTTGTTTCTTACTTGAAATGTTGTTTTTTTTAAAGTTGGAGGATGATTATAAAGTATGTTTGATGGGGTTATTCTGATGCAGAATATTCTAACTGCGGAAATAGTTTTTTTTTATGTCATGTTGTTTAGGCCTTCACAAATACATACATCTGAAAGCCCACTACCTGGAGATGACTTCTTGTTTTGCTACAAAAATCTTCCATTAGTTCATGGATTTGTGATTTGCTTTTGGCAGATACATCCAAGTTTAATTTAACTCTATGGACAAGTTTTTCTTGGTACTGAACAAAACAAATATAACTGTTATTAACAGGGAGTAACTGGAGCAGTTATAAGAAGGGTTACAAACAAGGAGGCATTCAATCCCTCTGTTTTTTTTGGTGCTAGCAGATAACTGCTCCAGGATTCTCATCCAGCCATGTCTCCAAGGGGTTTTGCAGTGGAGGCTCAAATTAATAACTTAGTTTTTTTTTGCTGCTACAAAAGCAGAAGACCTGTAAGCGATGAAATAAAATATATCTGAGCCAGTGATGGGAAACGTCTAGACAGTGAAGAGGAAGTGTCTGATGGACTAAATAAATTCACTCCCTGGCTTCTTTCAAGCAGTGTTTGGACGAGATCAATTAATTCATTTTGGTTGAAAATACTTCATTTATCCCCAAGGGGCAATTTAATCAGCAAACACTGTAACATCACAGTACATTCCAAATTAAAAATAAATCATTTTTAAAATAAATAACAAAAAACAACAAAAGTGAATTAAAATGATTACAAAAGTAACAAAGCGCATGTGCGCTGGAAGAACTCTGACCTGTCCTACAAAATAAAATGGTAATCTATCCATGAGATATTTTACGTTTGCAGAGGGAGCGCTTTCCAATAGAGATCATATGGATAAAACTTTCTTTATGGGCGAGCCTAATGCCCTCTGGAACAAAGCTAGGTTTCCTTCTCTTGGTCCTGCACTGTGGACAGCGAAGACATGTTCTTGAAGGCAAAAGATGAAAAGACTGATGAAGGACATGAGATGGGTCTTCAATTCAATGTATTTTTATATTGCAAGTGACCATACATGTGAATACAGAACAGAAAAGACCAGAAGACAACTGAGGAGAGGAACCAAAAACTCCTTAGTAAGGAGAAAAAAAACCCTCTAGGGGTCCAAGGTCAACTGACTGCCCAACCCCTTTGGGCATGCTAACATTATACAATAAAAAAAAAAAGAAATAAATAAGGGTATTAATCCATCCATCATGTCTTGTGTATGTCGGTACTCCCTGCAGATCTATATAGACCAGTAAATCCCTCCTAAACGATAGCTATATCCATGACGTCCCTCTTGGATCCATGGCAGTGATGCTGCATCCAACTCAGATGGTGCCCAGCCCGGTTGCCATCCGGACATGTGGGCAGGAGAATAGGATAGTTTGGTCAGAACAGATGTATCTCCTGGTGGGCCAACACAGAGACACACAATGGCATGCACAGCAGCACCAGCAGCCATGGTTGCAGCAGGCTATGATGTAATGTGTGAGTAGTGATGGCACAGGCCTTGCTCAGGATCTGCTGGACATGCAGCTTTGCCAGGGGGTCTTAAAGGCTCACCAGTGATATTGGACTAACTGCTAAGTATCTGACAGGGGAGATGATTTGGTTGGCCTTCCCTTTTCTATAACCTTTCTTAAGAAGCTGAGTGTCATCTGCAACAACATGGCTGGTTAGATAAGCGCATACAGAAGCTCCACAGCAATGTAAGATGAACAGATTGCATCTTCTGAATGAAACGTTTTTGTGACCTGATTCACTAAGTATGTGGCATAAGTTTTTTTTTTTCTCAAAATTTCTGCGGCGGAATCCAATGAAAACAAGAGCACCGCGGAAGGAAAGAAAAACTTGTTTCAGAAAATGTGGCGATGGGCATGTCAAAGTGTTTTTAGTAGCTGTCGAAAAACTTCACGGGAGTATGGTTCTATGTAAAAAAAAACTCAGGAGACTACTATTATTCATTTTGGATAGTACTGTAAAGAATAGTAAAGTACTGTGAAAAATAGCACATTCAATCACAAGTGTAAAAGCTACTTAATAAAGATTTATGCAGTTTCCCTCAATTGCATAAATCAATCAATAAATAAAATATCTATTTAATTTATATAATATACTGTGTGTCACTGGCATCACCAGGGCAAGTTAAGTGCAGGTGCATATGGATTTATCTTAGTTTAAGTTGCAGTAACACATTCAGGTGTGCATCATTCTGTCATACATATGCAGTTCCCCAGGTTCTTAAAGTCATATGCTGACTAAAGGTTTCCTCACTGTAAAGAAAAACTGAGGTTTGTCTTGGTTTATGAAAGGTTAGTTCTATTTTGTTTGGGACCATTATATAGTAAAGATTCTCGCTGTGTTTTTTCATTCATTTATAAATGTACAATTCTTTTTCTACAATTTCTTTTTCAGTCTCCTGCTAAGATTCACAGATGATACATTTGATCCTGAACTTGCAGCAACAATTGGTGAGTTTACTGTACAGTAGACATTACAAAACGGAGGGACATATTCACTAAGTGCTCCCAGACTAGCATTATCTGCATTGTCCTTTGAAGTTTATGTACTTTACTTGTGTATCGGGTTAAACATTGGTAAATATCGGCTCAATGTAAATACTTCCACATACTCATTCATTCTTTATTTTAGACACCCTGATGTAATGTTATTTTTCCATACCTACAAGGTTGGAGTTACAGGGGACCTGCAGTCTCAGTTTCTCAGACCGGTTTATTAAATCTTGGTAACAAAATATATTAGTTGAAGGTATTGCAGAATTTGACAAATTCTGAATTAAGCAACAAAAAAAAGCATGAACTTTGTGAAAGTGCTGGATAGTCACCATGTTGTCAAAAACCCCTGTTCTTGCCACGGGTGGGAGCACAAAGTTTGCACAAAGTGCGATGTGATGCAGCCCTTCCTGCTCACTAGCCACTGTGATGACTAGTGTAAAGCAACGTACGAGTGAATAAATACAGGATGTAAAGCAGATATTTCACCGCAGAAATGTTCCAACGTGATCTGCATGCAGAGTTAACAAGTAAAAGGTATTTGCTGGCAAAACCGTCTCGAAACCGAGAGCAATTTTTTTTGGATTAAACGAGAAGTATTCACAAGCCTGCGTGTACACAATGTCACAGGGCCGCTTCACCTCGCCAGAAGTTCTGTTGCCTCGTTCTGATTCAAAGAACATGCAGCTGCGCATGCCTGGAAATTTAGTCTATTTTGTCATGTAAATTGGCGGTTTTACACTTTACTGTGCACATTTTACATTTATTGTGGTTTGAAATGCACTCATCAGTGCAGATTCTTTCTAACCCTGAAATAGAAAAACAAGGCTGCAGTTCACTTCTTAAGTCTGTGAAATTCTACAGTAAAAGCATTGATGTTCTCAGTTTAAGCATATTTTTGCAATAATGCTTGGCTTGGATGAAGTACCCGGCCTGTTGGCATTTCCTTCTTGGTTATAGCTAAAAGGGGTTTGTCTTCCCAGCTCTGAGTCTGTGTAGTTCTGTGCTCTACCTGTCTGAAGAGAGTAATACATGCCAATTGGCTGGGCAAGGCCTCAACAGCTCCTAAATAAGGCCTTAGAGAGTCATTTCCTGGTTTTGGCCCAGTATCTTTACTAATAAACATCCTCAAAGTGTAATGATTAACCTAGTTTTTCTTAGTTTTAAGAGTTGTTGTTAAAGGCGTTTGAAGTTCCAGAATTCTAAAATTCCACAGGTTCCACCACAGAGCTGTGATCAGGTGTAGAAGGAACTTCACTTAGTCGGTTCTAGAAGGAATTGTGGTCAGTTCTACTGTTGCTTTTCTTTTATATCCCTTCTGGAATTTGTGCTGTTAGCGACTTAACAGCACATATTCTGTGACAAAGCAGAGCTTTATGTGAAAGGAGATATTTTCTGCCAGACTGACGGTTTTCTTACAGCAAAGAGCTGTGGATTAATAAGTTGTTTTTTTTCCCCTCTCTGAAAAATTCATTTTAAGACTGGAAGTGCAGAAAACTATGACATACTCCAATGTACAATGACCTTAGGCCACTTGGATTTGGTTACTTTAAAGAAATCTTAAAGTTAATCCAAAACCGTTAAAATTCTTCGGGTTTTAGGCATCATGCAGTTACCTGGACTTTTTTTTTCTGAAATAATTAATTCAGGTGCCATCAGACCTCTTGTATGACTTGTGGCAAAAATAATCCAAGCACAAAAACCACTGGAGGCTAAATTAGGTTATCTCATCACTGCCCCAGCCGAAATGTATAAAGTTTTAGAACTATTTTGCCAATAAAGAAATAACAGCCCTGGATCTTTAAGGGATGGTTAGTTTTTGACCTATGTTAAAGTGTAGTGGGCTGCCGAATGTGCATTGAGTAAAATCCATACCTTGTATAAATTTGCTGTTTTGAATATGACAAATGTCAGAAGCCTTGTTTGTATAATTAAGGCTCGGTTACCATTGCTTCCATGAAGATTGACAGTGTTCGAGGTCAGAGGGGTGATAGTCTACTAAGCTTAAATAACCAGTATGGCTTCCGTTTTCATTACAGTTGAAATTTGATAGAAATGTCAAAACACCCTACACTTGCTTTAAGTATTGCTGACATTTGTTAAATATATGTTTTAAATTGCGGATCAGGCATCTTATATCTATTTTGTGGGCATATATTTCAAAGAGGTAGCTGAAAAAGCTTTTAATGTTTTCAAGACTGACTCGATGGCTGTCAGTCTTATATCAATTATTTTAAAGGTAATGAACAGTTATGATATAAGTATGCATTTTCTTCTCTTATTCATTTCAGCATTGTGTTTTGCTTGCTTGAGCCTAATCTAATAAAAATAGACACTCCAAGATTTGTGTATTATAGAGTTCACTGGATACTTGAAGTTTAATGTAAGATGCCATTTATCAGAGACTCCTTACTCTGTGGAAATATTGTATTTCACTGGTGTATAACGTGGAAAGTATTAACAGTACATTTTGTGTTGTGCATGTAGGTGTCGACTTCAAAGTAAAAACCATTTCGGTGGATGGGAACAAGGCCAAACTTGCGATCTGGGTAAGGGTTTTTTGTGCTGTTTGTATATTGTTGGAGAGAGTAACAAATGTGGTGCTTGATATTCATTGTACAAAATCTGTATTTTGCAATAAGAACCTCATTGCTATTAAATTAGTTGTTTTTAATACTCCAGCATGGACTGCCAACACCTTTCTTTTTTGAAACAGGCCAGTAGTCAGATGCTGTACACTTAGATAGAAAATGTGCCCTGTTTTGTGAAAGTTCTCTCAGGTCACTTTGTGCACAGATGAATTGTGGACTGAGAAAATGTCATTTTTTTTTACAAGATGTTCTAGAATACAGTAGCACGAGCGTCTTGCCTGATTTATGATGGTGGCATGATGGTGTGCCGGGCAGTGTGCTCAGTGTGAGTTTTCTCCAAGGGGCTCTGGTTTACTTCTACCTCCGAGAGACGCGCTAGCTGGGCTGGTCGGTGTCTCCGACCCGTCCTTCTGCGTGTGATCTGGCCTCCTGCTCGCTCGGGGCTGTCGTACTGCCTTCAACCCTTCAACCCTCCTTCCAGGACGGGCTTTAAGCTGCTGCAACCTCTACTAGGAATAAGCCTTCTGAAGAACGGGATCCTTACTTAGCAGTTAGCCCTAATTACAGTGTGCCAGTGTTTTAAAATTTAGTGCAGTTGTGAGATTTGTACTTGATTTTATTTTAAAATATCTTTGAAGCATTCTGTTGCTCTGTTTTTGCTAAGAAGTGAAAATGTCCCACGTATAATGGTAATAATAATAATAAACTTTATTTTATATAGCGCCTTTAAAGGTGGCTTCTCAAAGCGCTTGATGGTACAATATGATCCAGAGATTCACTCAGAAATAATTAGAAATGTGAGTCAAGTGCACCTTTAACTTTTTAAAGATGGCCTTTGAGTCATTTTAGCGATTGTGCGAAGGCTTCAAGTTAAAAACTGATCTTGCCTGGGTCTCTAACTAAACTCAAGACAAGCCTCCAGAAGATGGCACTAGTGCATAACATTACAGTCCAGCCTTAACAGGTTTAATCCAAAGCCCTTTTTAAAATTCATCTGCAGAGGGTATACTCCTTTTTCCTATTGTTTTTCCTGTTCAAGTAAGGCAGACTTTCTTGAGTAAATGTGAACAAAGTGTTTTGTATTGCAGGACACTGCAGGCCAAGAGAGATTTAGAACTTTGACACCTAGCTACTACCGAGGGGCACAGGGTGTCATCTTGGGTGAGTAAACACTATCTTATTGAGCAGAGACATTACCTTCTACATGCTAGATTATAAATTACTGGGAGTTCCTTTAATCAACATCACATTTTATTTCATTCAGAAATCTGTCAGAGATTATTGATGTGCTCGTTTTAAGTGCCTCATCTTAAATGAAGTGCAGTGGAGCTTTAAGAGATCTTTGCGGTGGATTTTAGTATTTAGCATAGCTTCTTTTTTAAAAAAAAATAGATGATTAGATAAAAGTTCACACTGGTATTCGGTTTAGTTACAAGCAAATTAAAGATTTTCAGGCTGCTCTCCCTTTTCTTGTAGTGTATGATGTCACAAAGCGAGACACTTTCACCAAACTTGACAACTGGCTAAACGAACTGGAGACCTATTGTACAAGAAATGACCTTGTGAAAATGTTGGTTGGGAACAAAATCGATAAGGTGAATATGATTGTCAGATATTGTCAGTGAGGAATATCCTTGTGCAAGCTTTTTTTCCTGCTGGACTTCCCTAAAATCCTTGTTAATCAGTAAATAAAAGGTATTTCAGATGCCTTTTCAATCTAATTTTATTCTTTATATTAATTCTTTATGTTAATCAAAAATAATTGCCAGCCCTTGAAATTCTGAAGTCTATTAGTACACTAATAATCAGAATAAAATGTAGCTGAATAGAATGTGTTGGCAATAATCAAGCTATGGTGGTGAACATGTCGTTTTCTACCTTTACTCAACCATTGTGTTTCTGAAGCCTGCTATGTGTTTTGTGTTTTCTTGGGATACGAGGGTCCTTGTGACCTTGCCTGCCCTCTTTAATTTACAGTAGCAGCTTTAAACTGAAGACAGGTTTCATAAATGATTGTTCTTTTTGTTAAAGGAAAACCGGGATGTAGACAGGAATGAAGGCCTAAAGTTTGCAAGAAAACATTCCATGCTTTTTATAGGTAAGTCTGGATCATTCCTCTTAAAAGAACCATTTCAATAAATTATCCTCGGCAACTATGTTGGGGAAGCTGCTTTTTAAATTACTGTCATTCTAGAAGGTGAATGTGTATTTTGGTGCCATATTGTCAGTCTATTTTTAGCATGTTTTTCATCTCCCTCAAAACAGCCATGCCTTCAGACACAGGTCTCTTCAGTTTCAGGTTTTCCCAGTTATTCTGAATTGCCTGATTTCAGATTCTTACAAACTTTGGTAGAAAAACAATTTCAATGTTAATCTATCTAAAAAAGTTCTTCCTTCTTTTGGTTCTTTAACAGAGAACCAAAAGGATATTGGCTCTATATTAAATGAATAATGGTTTGTACAAGCCCACGACAATATTTTGGTACAATATTTGGAAACTTTAAAGAGCATTGCAGTGTATTGCTTTAATGTTTTGCTTTAGTATTATTTAGTAAACTGTTTCCTGTCATAAAGATGTCAGGCACCACTACATACCTTTGAGAAAAAGTTATATATTGAAGTACATTTCTCTCCTCTATCTTTTAATTTTGTTTTTGAATGGAATAATAAACTGTTCTGTAATAGAGATGTGTTCATTATTGTTCCACCAATTTTTTTGGTCTGTTTTGAATTTTGTACTTGGGCAAAGCTTGTAAATTAGAATGCTGTGATCCACTGAGTAAATACCAGTTTGAAGTCAGGATTTAATTCAGATTTTATCTGCCAGGGACTTTTCTAGTGATGAACTTTGTGTGCATTTTGATCCTCTCGTACAGAAGCTAGTGCAAAAACCTGTGACGGCGTCCAGTGTGCTTTTGAAGAGCTGGTGGAGAAAATTATTCAGACACCAGGACTGTGGGAGAGCGAGACTCAGAGCCGGGGTGTGAGACTGTCTGATCACGAGGAGCGGGGTGGTGGAGGCTGTGGGGGATATTGCTCCTTGGTGTAAATCGAAAATCGACCACTGTCCCGCAACACCACTCGCGCACAAAAACAGACATCATTTTCTAACTATTGGAAGGGCCTCTGAACTGTATTGCTGTGTTTACATGTTCAGTAGCTGCGATAGTAGGGACATTGCTGTTTGCACACTTCCTGGTATCACGGCAGCACCCACGGTTTGTAAATTCCCCAGCTGAGCAACTTTGTAGACTACAGCTGATCTGACCCTCCTGTCCATGGCTGCTTTTCATGAACTGCAGTGGAAACGGTCTGCCAAGAGCAACTGAATGTGGTTGAGACGAGTCGGTAAATAATCTTACTAATTCACGGCAAAAAAACAAACACATCCATCCTCGCTGCCTTTTAGAGTAAAATGTTATTTTTATCTTGTATACGTGATGACATTTATCAAAAAGTGCAAAAATGTTCAATTTCTTTCCTGCCTCTGTTTCAAATGTGCTTTGTAATGCATTCTGTCAAGGGAAGCACAACCTGATTAAAAATAATGATTTCTTTTCTCTAGTATGTTGCCGGTTTATGCTCCGCATGATCATGCCTTGTATTCCAGATTGAAGAGAAAAAAGCAGAAAAGCAACAAAGGAATGTTGTATTTTATTATTATTTTTTCAACTGACATGATCCTATAATCTGGATGGATACCCTTTTTGAGTAATGTATGTGTTCTTCAGAATCTGCTTTTTTCAGTCATAGATTTACAACCATTTTGCAGCTGTTTGGCTATTTTATTAACTTAGACGCTAAACTTTAAACATGTTTGGAAGAATTTGTACGTTACCACAGATTGACACTATAGACTTTCTATTGTTCACTCCAAAAAGGCTAAATGTGCATGTCTTATTTGGTTTCCTGTATCCTTAGCTCATGCTTTTATGACCTGTAACTCATGCATATTATTCCCTTTCCTAAAAACACTTTTACATCATACATTTAACACACCTGATCATATTATATAAATCATTCCTGGGTCTGAAATATATATAGATCTTGTATTGATGCCTTTGGATATACAGTATTCTGAGTGCAGAATTTTTCTTTTCCCTCACTGTTTAAAAGCTTGATTTCCTGTCCTGTCAACTAGTACTGTATCCACATTGGCAACATTTCATCTGTGTTGTAGACTTCAACCTTTGCTATCCCTATAGCACTTGAGTGCCAGAACAGAGATTTGGTTGCAGGGATTAAGTGGTAAAGTTAGTTGACATTTGTTCTACTTCCAGTCTTTCTGGATGATTTGGAAACATGTGAAGGACATGTGGTACCTTTTGTCTGTTTGTTCAAACATTCTAATTCTCTTTTCTATTTTAATGTTTTTTTTTAACAGCATGTAATTGTCTGAATATTTGTGTTGTAACTCAGATTTACATAACTCTTCACGTTTACTTAATAAATGGTCATTTATTTACTGAGAATGCATCTGTCAACCATTGTTACAATCGTAAGTTGTATGCATCATATCTTGGTTTCAATTTTTTTCAAGACCAGTAGTCTTCCCTGGGTTATATTCTTAAACCTTTCTGTTAATATTGAAGAAAAGATTTTTAACACATACAAAAATTGGTTAGTTCTTGTAGATAAATGCTCTTTGCATTAATTTAGAACAAGAACATCATGTACTTTTGTATGTTTTACTTTGTAAAATATAATTTATTGCCTTTGGATAGATGATAAATGCTTATGACTGCATCAATCATATATACTGGACTGCTTTTGAAAGGTTCTTAAACATAATGCTGTAAATTCCGACACGTGGGGGGACAAATCTTAGTTTGTTAATGTAAATAAAGATCAGTTAACTAGGTGACTTGCTAGTGTTCATTGTGTTAGCACCACGTAAATATTAAGCCCATGCAGCGTCAGTCTGTATAATTTGTTCCACATACCTTTGTGAAAAGTTGTCATTTCGTTTTTAAATTTTTGAGGTATTCATCCGTTTTCTCACTGCTTTAACCAGTACAGGGTTGTGGGTAAGAAGGAGTCTATCCCAACTTGTGACGGGTACACACAGACACAGATACACACACTTACACCAGGGCCAGAGAAGTCCCACATGAAGATGGGGAGAACATAGTGTACAAATTCCACATGCCTTAGAGCCTCACTGTACTAATTCTAACCACCAATCTTGCTGCCCACGAGTACCTTTTTTTTCTTCTTCTTTTTAGAACTAAAGAGATTTTTTTTCCCTTTTATGCATCCATGCGTGACATTTTTTTGGAAGCGCCAACTTGTCCTTCTTTGGAAACTTTCTAGGGCAAGAGTATTATCTGGGGATCAAATAAAAAACAAAACTGCTCTAATTGAAGCCTTGTCCACACCATATAACCTGGTGTAACTTTGCATTTAAAATCCAAAATTGACATTTCAGTTCTCTTCATCATCACTTTCCTGCATTTTGTAGATCAGAACATGATAAAACAGCAATTTTTTATTATAATGTGGTGACCAAAATAAACACTTGTGTCTTTCATAAGTAGCTTCTTCTAGCTTTGCATTTCACATTTTGTATTTAGATTTTATGCTTTTACTACCCTCATGCAAAACCCGGCACTTGTCTGCATAAAGCATCATCTGCCAGGTGTTTGCCCAGTTTAGAATTTTATGTAAATCTTTTTGAGCTTCATTTGTCTCTTAAACAGTGCTTATCTTCTTAATTGGAATAATTTGCAAACAAGTTTGCAAGACTAGTTTAAAAATGCTAGTAGAATCTGAGTTCAGTGGTCCTAGTATCGACCCTTGTGGCACTCCACAAATCACATCACTCCAATTTGAGTGATCACTTCTACTTTCGACCCTCAGTTTTCTAGTCTGTTAATTTAAATTTAATTGTTAACGCTGAGCTTTGTCAAATGCCTTCTGAAAATCTAAATATGCTTTATCATGTGCCCTGTTATAATGTAGTCCTTACTGTTATTGTTTACTTAAAGAACTCTAACATGATAGTTTAACATCTTTACTAGTTGATAAGATATTTTTCCATGTTATTTCTAATTATTGACATTTCTAATATGATTTTTTTATAAATTCCATTTGTAGTCTTTGTGACAGCATACAGTAATTTGATTGTGAAGGACTGTTACTATTTTTGCACTCCATAGGCCTAATTACCACTTTTCTCTAGCAGTTGAACCCCAAAGAAAGATTACATGACCAATCTGCCTAATCTCATCAAGCACATGCTCCATTTGATACTAAAGATTACTTCAGTATTTGTTTTATAACAACTGGGAAAAGAATGTACAAAAAAAACCCATTTTATCTGTACCAGAAGCCTGTGAAGTAATAGAAATGTCTATAAAACAGATGTCCCCGTCATTACCAGTTAAAAACATTTTCAATGAGACTGATTTTTGTTTTGTTTTAAATATTTACAACGGGAATTCTTTTCAAAAGTTGCCTCATATGTTTTTTTGTGACAGTTTTTTACTGTTCTTTCTTGAAAAGTCTCTCTTTCTGTCATGTAGCTGCCCACTGCCCGTTCCAGGCCATGGTTTTCAACATTTGATTGACAGCAGCATATTGGAAAATGTTATAATAAACCCATGGAGGGAGAACCAAACCCGCCTCTTTCTTTTGGCTTTCTGGAAAGGAAATCAATCCCATCGCTGTAACATTAACAAACTATTCTTCCACCACAACAATAGCAGGCTGAAAGGTTCATCTCCACACCATGTTCTTTTTTGATATCATAGTTGCACAACCTGTTTTGTTTTGAAATATCACTGCGTTGGTAAAAACCTTACGATGTGTTGTTTAAAACATATTTAGAATACAACATTTAACGTTTTATTTGCTTACGCTGCTGTCTATGGTAATTCAGTCTATCGTGTACAGTATATATGATGCGTAGATACAGATATAAAGGGTCATACTGTATTTGCAACTCAGAATTTAACAGATGGTACAGAGGAGCTGGGAGATGGAACAAACCTGGTCTTCACTGTAATCCATTCATCCCTGAGTTCCTAAATTTGTTTCTTTGCATTCCTGTACACATACCTGTATAATCCTTGATAATACCTACAGGAGAAATTTTCTCATTTTAATCCCTCTTTTCTTAGTAATGACTACGAAAAGTGGGAAATGTGACCATTTAGCAGTGTTGCCTAATAAGTCAAATTAAGGGATCTCATTATTAGCAGTGGCGGCTTCTCTGAATAGCAGCAGTGAATAAGGCAAATGGCCATATGAAATAATACTAGAAGAATACTGTGCCCGAGGTTCATGTAGAAAAGGGAGCAGCAGCTTTTCCTCGGTGTTGCCAAGACCGAGCGTCTCCACAATGTTATAAAACCAGTGCAAGGAGAGTATGATGCAACATCAGAGAAACAAACAAAATGAATCTGCTTTGCTAAAAGTATGTGAGTTGAAGTGCAGCCAGAAGCAGAAAGAGGTTCAAGAGAAAAGTAGCACACTACAGTGCTACCCATGCAGCACTGAAAGATGAGACAGGACTGACAAACAGTACAGAAGAAGCAAAGGAAATTCAACTTTAAGATTTCAAAATTAAAAAATCAGGTCTTGTAGTCTGTTGGGAGTCAGACATTCCTGCAAGCCCAGAAGTGTACCTGGTCGGTATTCTGTGAAGTGATTATGAAAGTAGCAAATATGGATTTTTGTAACGTAATGAAAACCCTCTTCTTAATCTACTTAATGAAATCTTAAAAGTGCATTGTCAGATTAACAAAACATCCCATTTTGTGTTTTTACTTATATATCCTATCACTGTTTCCGACATTGTCTTGAAGGTGAAAGAGGTACAGTAGATAACCTTAGACTGTTTCACTGGTAGTTTTGTCACAACATTAAGTGTTTCCCATCTTATACTATACTCTTCTTTGTTCCTTATTCTTTGAATTACTTTTTACTTTTACTTTTGAGTTGCTCAGCAGTCCTGGGTTTGGCTGAATTTTGATCCTCTTTGTACAAAGGCAGAATTAGCATTTGTTTAGAGACTAAAACTTGCATATTAAATATTTGCTTGTCAGTGTTGTGTAGTTTCTTTTGCACGCATTACCTTACATCACCTCTATTCATGTATGCTGTATGTTGTGTTGTTGTATGTGGTGGGATTTCAAGGATTAACTGCGCATGTTGGTATTGTATAAATATGGTATAAGGCAGGCACTTTTGCAGTGTTGCAAGTCAGACTGCCGGTGCCCTACAGCTGTCCGATGTCAAATCGGTTGAGGAAAAAAGTCACAAAGCTGCCGGGCGGGTTTGAAGACATCTAAAAATGACCAGACCATTCTTGGGGTATCAGTAGCCCAGCCTTTCGGAGGATGGTACAGTCCAAAATGTGGGCCCACAATGTAGTCTAACTAAAACTCCATACACTTTCACAGGCAGTCTATTCACCTACGAAGAAGCAGCATTATCACTGGGTTCCTTCTTTGCAGGCCAGACCACAGAAAAGTAACTGGTAATTTGAGCAGCAAAGAGACCGATCTTGGAATTTTGGAGACTGACTGTTATCTTATAATTGTAAGAATATTTATTTCCTTAGGGAAAATAATCTTTTGCCACCAGGTAAAAGAAATCTCTTGTATGTCAACATGCTCTTTGGTATAGGGAGAAATGTTCTTCTTTGGATTAGCATCCATTTGGGGAGATATTTAATATTGAGTAACAACTTTTTATTTTAGAAGAAACAGGTTACCAAATAAAAGTATTAGAAAAAAGTATATGTTTCTTGCTGTAAATAATTGTAAATATGTATTTGTCTTTTACATTTTTGCCCCTTTCATTGCTCTTCTGCCTTACTTGCACTGAGAACAAAGAGCCCACCTGCCGTTAAGTGTGATCACTCAGTACTCTCTGATAATAGAGTGTGTGTGGTCAAATTTTACAATTTTCTTGTAAGGAAAGATGGTGTCAGAACTTGATTTGATATTTAAAATGTTATCCTCTTTTATTTAATTTGTCTGTATCCTCCAGCTTAGAGAGCATTATGCTCACAGTAGTGTCATAAATACTGTAAATGCATTGGAGATACACAGCATATACTGTACGTATTGACACATATATTAATATCATAGAATTATCCACACTTGAGTCTGTTTTTCGGTGCGTTAAGGCCTATAGGTTAGAAAAAAAAAGTTTGCCAGTAGATCATAGCAGTTTCATTAGCTCACAATCTGACATGGCTCATGCGTCCAGATGTTTTGTTATAAAATTATGCCGTGAGATGTCCAAGTAATGGGCTTGAAATCTTGGATTCCTGAAGAGTTCTAAGAAGCTGGTCCCCCAAGCCAAGCTGAAACACTCTTTGGTGTGTACTGTGTAATAACAAATATTACTTCAGGACCTTGTCTCCATCATACAAATTAACATGATTTAAATTCTTGTTACCCTGAAATGTGTGGTAATGCTATTAAGCTGCACCACGTTCCAGGTTCTGACTTATGTTAAGGCCATGTTGTGATCTTGCACATTACATTTTTAATAGATTGAAAATGACTTAATGTCACCTTGGCATTTGCAGTTCAGAGGCACACTTTAGGAGTGTCACACGGTGAACCAAGTGATGCTTGATTTCCCAGGCCTCGTGTCTGGTCGGTGAACTTGTGAAATAAGTCAGTAATAAGCTGAGTGATATTAGTCAGAACAGATCAGGAATAACATCCCAGCTCTCCAAGATCAGAACTGAACTACCTTTAGACTATTTGGCAGATCGTGTGAATGGTAGCATCTATATTTGTTTTCATGTCTGCGGGTCTAATGGTCCAAATTCAGTTTCACGAGGAATGAAAAACACCCAAGATGAAAGCGTCATGGAGCGAGATTGTGGCTTAACCCACTTGG